ACAGCCCCGTGTTGAGTTAACCAGTTAATACCAAGGATCACATCTATATCTTGATCCTTTAATATCAGCATGCTAGTAGGGAACTCATGTCCTCCGAAATCAATAGGTACATGCTGAACTATCTCCCTTATACAGAGTCGTCCCCCTGGCGACTGTATATGATATGGTTCTTTTGTTTCCCCAATAGTTATCCCATGCTTGGCCCTAAAAAAGTGTTGTTTAGTTTCTTGGTCTTTTTTCGAACTAAAATGAATTTCTTTTGGTTTCTGTGGCAGAACCTCTAAAGAAATCAGGCCCACGTGCACCTATCGATGTCTCAACAGACCTCAAATAGCGTACACAAGTTCCCAATAACTTAACAGATCTGTCGGGTATCCTTGGAAAACCTGAATCATCCACGAATCTTTTCCAAATAGGATCCTAATCACAGTCATTGCAGATTACAACAGTTTTCCATATACATACCAGAGATTATAAAGCGGAAGACTTAAGTTTTGATATTACAAACCAGTTGTTTTAAACTTACAAAACCATAATTGTCATACAACCATAGTAGCGGGATAATATTACATTAACATTATTTATTTCACACAAACTAGTGCCTTGTCCAAAGACCATTCATCATTCCTCATCGTCATCGACTTCAAACACTGACATGCAGTAGGAACCAAAATAAGCCTGCGCATGCGACTCACCTGCAACAAGGGTTAACAAACCCTGAGTACAAAAGTACTCAACAAGACTGACCCGACCAAAAAGGGCGAAGGTCTTAGGGATGCAGGTGTTGGGTCAAGGTAAGGATGTAGAAAGATTCAAAAGTTCTTTGCCAAAAGCTTACTATTCTTGATCCTAGTATCAAGTTTTACCCCTAAGTACTTTAGTTCAATATCTCCAACTAAGTGTTCATATCCCATGTTCCAATCCTTCTCATTTCATTCTTTTTCTCATATTTTAGTAATTCACCAGTCCTGCATTGCTTCTGTAATGAATCGAGTCTCCATATCCGCGGAGCATCGGCAATTCGAATTGATTCAAGTCCCAGCTGGGGATTCCTTATCACACGACATATGTAGAACTTAATCTTGCATATATCAACCTCGCTATCGGATCCTCCTATACTAAGCCGTCTCCACGCCACCCGAGAGCACAACACACCTCAAATCCGACCACATTCAAGCCACGAGGGTACACGCTACTCCTGCCATCTCACCACTCCCAGTGCGTGGGCATTCGTCTTAGTATCGGATTAGCCGAAGTAGGCTTACCGGAGTATGTGACCAGTACTACAAAGTGTCTCATTCAAAAGATCCACAATGAGTGGCATTTAAGCGACATAGTCGACAACATTACCCAACTTTCAAGATAAGTCACCCGACTAGTCTCTAGTTTATTCTACCTTCTTTCTTTCTTTCTTTGGCCAGTATGCCATCTTTGATTGTATTGAAACTTTTACTTTGAAAACCTACCATAAGCATTCTAAGCATTCTACGCCTTTGTAAATGAAATCATCTTCAAGGATGGTAAACAATCAACAAGGTAGGCAATGCATAAGTAGGTAACATTTGAAGTAAATCAACTTAATGCAATAAGTAGCATAGGTGATAAACTTTTCAAAGTAAACAAGGTAATGGTTTAATGCATAAACCGGGGCTTATCTTCGTTGACGATCTCAGGTTCCGGATCAGTACCACAATTATCGAATCCCATGACAACCGGGGATTCTTCCAGAACTTGCTCAACTAGAATCGTTTCACTCTCGGGTTCTACATGAAATGATAACATATGCTTTAACATGATGATAATGTAAATATGATGCTTTCACGGTACATGAAATGTAACAACACCCCAAATACGATTTTCCTTCACGGTACAGTTGCAAGCCAACAAAATCAACTTGCAATTCTACCGGCAAGAACCACATATGTGACTTGACCAAACTGATCTTGAAACCCTACTGGTCACACAGCATGACCCAAACAAAAAGTAAACCCTAACCCTAACAATTAGGGTTGCTTTTATTCAATTTTTAATTAATTTGAAATAAGCCCAAAAATAAACTTGTTCCAAATGACCTAAAAATTTTATGTAAGCTTCCTCATAATAAATTAGTGTACCAAAATAAATTTCATAATTTTTGGAATTATATAGTGGCCTACAAAAATCATGGAAATTGCATTTATTAATTAATGGACTAAATTTTTGAACATTAAAAATTTATTCAAATTTCAAGTTTTATATTTTTCCTAAATAGTATTCATCACAGAGAAATCACACAAAAATTTTCATAATTTTTGGAGCTCTAAACAAATCTACACAAAAATAACAAAAACAGACATTATTCATCCATTTCTGAAAATAGAAAAATTCAATTTGAACTATACAGTCGCTGACATACGGGACCCACTTGTCATCCCTAACCTCCGGCTTTGACCACGACGACGACGGCGCTGACCGACGTGAACTCGTCGTCGGTGAGCCCAACAGCAACGGTCATAGCACCAAAACGTTCACAACGACTAGACGCATCGATCTGTGGCACTACGGAGGTTGATTACGACATGGAACAAGGCTGGCACCGGCCATGGCGGACGCGGTGGCACGGGATCGCTACGCCGACGAAACAAGGTCAGTAGAGATCAAACAAAAGGCTTAGAAAGGATCAGCAGCTCACCCCGAACGTGTTGAAGCAAAGAATGAGACCGGAGGAGCTACGGTGACGCGGGTCGACGGTGACAGCGGTCATGGTGGAGCAAACTTCGTCGGCGATGGAGTTTCGGTGACTGCAGTGAGCAAAACGACTAATCAAAACGAATTAAGCATCACAGCGTCGAGACGAAGCTATAGCGACAACAAGTAAGGACAACGGCTCACCGGATGATGCTGGCTGCGGTGAAACAGAGTTTCGGTCGAGATCGCCGGCCGCAAGGAAGAAGAACGTAGACAGCGAGTTCTCGACGAAATCAAGTGGTAGCAACAGGTCGGTTGGAGGCGTAAGGAGCAGGCAAAACTGAGACACTGCTTTTCCGGGGCTATCTTGCGCTGAGGAGGCGAGGATAGCTCGCGCGGAGCTGAAGCGGTGGCGGTGGAAAACAGAGGAGAGAAATCAAAGTCGACGACGGCGTCGGAGCTTTATAGCGCGGCCAAGAGTGCGAGGAAATGACACGCAGTGAGCTGCTCGTGCCAGCGCGAAGCCGAGGGCGGTCGCAGACGCGCCTGGATGGCCGGAGAAAGGACGCCGACGGTGGGGCGGTGGTCGGCTACTGTTCTGAGAAATTACAGAATTGCCACCGAGTTCATTTTGCAAATTACTCTCAAATTTTCTAAAGAAGTTGAAAATCTCCAAAAATGAAAGTTGCTCAAATTTTCAAACTCTACAACTTTGCTTCAATGAACATTTTCAAATTCTGCCTCCATTTTGAAATTTGAATTTAGGGTGCATTTGAGTATTTGAATCATTTCAAAATTACTCCAAATTTTATATGTAAACTTGAAAAACTTTGAATACCAAAGTTGATCCACATAAAATAATCTTCAACTTTGCTTTTTGCCTCAACCCCAAATTCCACATGGATTTTGAATTAGTCAAAAGGGGCAAAAAGGACTTTTATAATTTGAATTTGAATTTGAATTCAAATTTGATTTGTCTTTCTTTTACTTTAACTTTGATTTTTGACAAGTAACATGGGCCATTAGGGTTATTTGAGTCAAATGACATATGGCCTCACATGATCACATGAAATTTAACCATTGTGGTCATGATCTTTATTTAGGGTTTTGAAACGCATCACATGAAATAACAACATTATGAAATAAAGCTTATTTAGTGAATGCATTCAAAATTTTCTACTCCATGAATGCTTTGCAATGCATATGATAACATGTCAAATTTTTAATGATAGGTCAAAACACCAGAGGTGTTACAGTTTTTTGTCCCTTCCGTTAGTTTGATGGGCTAACGGTATTAAGCTATATACGAAATAACTCTTTTACCCCTCGCACCGAAGGTTACAGTTCATAGATCTTTCAGGCTGTCTCTATCAATAATTTTTCAAGATAAGGTACAATATTTTTTCAAGCATGGAATTATTATTTTTTATTTTTCAATAATTATTTTTTAAGCCAGAGCTAAAAGAGTCATTTCACGTACAACTTAACACCGTTAGCCCATCAAACTAACGGAAGGGTTAAGAAACGAAAATAAATTCGTTTTAGGGCCAAATAAGCAAGTTAAAAAAAAAAAAAGGCCCAAGAAACTAAGCAACACCTTTTTTTAGGGCAAAGGAAATAATTTCCTCTATTTAATTAGGTTTGGCCCAACCTTGAATCGAATAAATTTCAAGATCCACAATAAATACTAGTACAATTAAGGATTAATCCTATATGAAAAATTGGTAAGAGATTGACTCAAATTAATTGTGTGGCTATTGTACATGTAGTCATGTACATGTTAATTATAAGTTTAAGAAAGGTGGAAGACATGCCACGTGCCTATGCGGTGAGGCTATGACATGAGTAGTGAGGCGGCGATGAACGTTTTATAATTACTTCTTACATTTCAAATTATATGACATTTTGATTTTTCTAGATATTATTCTTGTACTATGTATCTAGAAATAATGTATATCTAAGTACACAGTAAAATCTAAGTATCTAAAAAATTCAAAATATCTTACAATTTGTAACGGAGACAGTACAAACTTAAATCAAGAAAGATGATAGTGAGAGACGACGACGGACCTAGAGATGGAGGAGAACCGAGGATCGGAACCGACGAATGAGAGAGAGAAGAAAAATGTTTTTGATCTTTTTATATTAGCTAACATTAAAATAGATGTAGATAAGATTGTTTTATTAACTCATCAGGTTTGTACATGATGTATGTCGTACAAATCAGTTCCCTATGAAAATGAAAAAAAAAACAATTAATGAAATGAGTTGCTATATTATGTACAGACACGGTTACGTCACAATCAGCCTCTTGAATAAGCGAACACCTACAACTACCCCGCGCACAGCCCGCCGTCGGCGCTCTGCATGGTGACGTCGCCGTCGTCGTTCATGTAGGCGGCGAGGTTCATGTACTGCTCTTGTTCCTGCTCCCGGTTCGGCTGCCTCCACCGTGAGCGGCAAACGACACACGTCGCCGCCCGTCGTAAGCGGCTTCGCTTCCAGCGCGCGAAGCACTCGGCGTGCACCGCGTTCCGGCACGTCCTGCACGTCAGGATCGCCTGCGACGCGGCGGTCCCGCTGCTGCTCTCTGACGCTGGTGCCGGCGCCATCTCCTCGAGGCACACCGGGCATGCCGCGCCGTCGAGTGGCCTCCGCGACGACGCCTCCTGCCGGTCGTTGGCAGCCTTGTTGGCCGGGCGGGCCGACCACAGCTGGTGGAACCTCTCCCTGGCGCGCGCGCCGGCGAGCACGTCCGGGTACGTGGGCGTGCCGACGAGGCGCGCGACCTGGCACGGGCGCAGCGTCTGCCTCCAGACGCAGGCCTCGTCGAGGGAGAGGCCGAGGACGCGGAGCAGCACGAAGAGGATGTGCTTGCAGGGCACGGCGGGGTCCGGGCACGTGCACGCCGGCGTGGTGGACAGCGTCACCGTGTACACGTTGCCCGTGGCGCCGAGCACGAAGAACTCCGCGCCGGCGCGGTGCAGCAGCCGGAGCTGGTGCTGCAGCGCGCGGATGATGCGGTTGGCGACGCGCCGCGTCGACGCCTCCTCCTCGGCGGCCGTGCTCGCCGCCGCGAACGGGGTGGTGGTGTTCGACGCCACCGAGTCCATCGAGAGGTTGCTCCTCGTTTCTGGCACGGCACGGGGAGAGCCCAGAGCTATCGGCTATGTAGTGGCGGGGGTGCACCAAAAGCACCGATGCGTTGAGTGCCGCAGGAGAAGACGACTGTGCGAGGGTGAGAATTGCGGCGGAGTGAAGCAACCTGCAACTGCGATGAAGAGGAGGAGGCAGCACCGGCAACTTAGCTTTGGGTTCAGGTTTGGGAAAGCACAACGAACAATCTTTCCAAGTCTCAGTGACCAGGTATACCAAATCATGGGCTAACTGCTTCGTTCTGCCCGAAACAGAGTAGTGCTGTGCGTGAGGTCACCTTGCAATTGCAGCAGGATGATACCTGAAGTTGCCCAGTTTGACCAAATTGCTCAAAGTTACAGAATGAACGGGGCTAATTCATCAAATTATATAAATGAAAAACATATGTGAAAATTTTAACCACGAGCAGAGGTTGGAGAACAAATAAATAAAAAATGTATATATATTTACATCATCATTTATACTAGTATTTGTGAGTGCCTACGAATAGAAATTTTCAACTCCAGGACATGTGAACGCATATTGGTATTCACGCAAGCCACCGCCTGCTGCATCTCCTGTTCCTCGCCCGCGTCTAGGGCCCCTCTCCGGTGCGTCTTCCGGGGAGAAAGGGAGGGGATCTATTCTTTTTCCCGTAGTTTTATTTCTAGTTTCTTAGGGTTTAGTCTAAATAAATATTTTGGCAAAATCAAATGATTTTTGGGATCGTGATTCATGCGATGACTTTGGTGATTGGCACGACGAGATCGCTGTTGTAGGCATCGATTTCATCGGCAGGCGTCCAATCGGTGACCTTTTATCTGTATTTTTGGGGTTGGTCATTGGATTCGGCATAAGAATTGCACTTTTGCTCCGGCGTTTGAGGGAACCATTGGGGAAGAAAACGTTGGAAGAATTTGGCTAGAATATTATGTATTTTTATTTCATATTTTTCTAAATATAATTTGGGGAAGCAGCCGAATTTCCTTAATATAATAATCCTTCTTTCCTTGCAAAAAAAAGAGAAATTTTCAACTCGAGCTGGGATACTCCTGCCCTGAAATTTGCCGCCTGTGACGAGGTCTGTGTCAGCCCAGGAGGCGCCCTACCACGTGGGGTTGAGGCCCGAATAGAGCCCAACACGCAGAAAAACCTCAGGCCTGTTTCCCTTCTTTTTCTGTAGCCCAACAGGCCTGAGGTTTTCTACAGTTCTACTAGCAGCATTTTTGTGTCTATTATAAATCTTCACTGTTCGTCGGTTCATATCGCAAAACTACGTTTTCTAATCGGCCGGATATATGAGTCCGCTCCGGTACCGTGCCGATGTTATACTACGGCCCACAGCTAGTGCCACTAGGCCAGATTACATCACTGCCGGGTCCAAACCGGACATCACTGTTGAACACGGATACGAACAAGAATACAAAACAAATGTCTCGAATTCAATTTCCACGATAACATATATCTATTTGCTTATCGAAAGTTTTAGCAAAACAAAATCATTATGCATATAGAGAATATGATTATATAACACTTGTAGATAGTGACAGCTCATAAAATAATAGATATATAATAAATATTTCAATTATTAAATATATAAAAAAACAATAAAACTACAAATAAATATTTATCAACAAATATTTAAATATATTAAAAATAATTTTATCAATAGATGAGTAACTAAAGTACTTAAAACTAATAGGACTAACCATAGTAAAACTAATTAAACTTAACCTTATATATCATTAGTAATAATAAATTTAATATAACGTTATTAACCATAGAGATAAGTTTTAAGTAGTTTAAGTCATGCATACACTACGTAAAAACGATTTTTAGCAACGGATCGAATTTTTTGTAGGGGCGGCTGGTGATGGAGCCGTCCCTATAGTGCCATGCTCGGGTGCCCAGACACCAGCCCCTACAAATGGAACAGCAGGGACGGCTGGTGATACGAGCCGTCCCTACAAATGGGTGAAATTTGTAGGGGCGGCTCACTCACCAGCCACCCCCAGTGTTTCTATTTGTAGGGGCGGCCGATGATTGAGCCACCCCTACAAATGCCCCACGTACAGTCACTACCCATCCAAAATATCTACTCGCTCCTCTCTCTCTCTCCGTCTCGACTCCCTCTCTCTCTCCCTCGCTCTCCCTCTCCTCCGAGCCCCTCCGTCTCTCCCCCACGCCGCCCCTACCCCCCGGCCACCTCCCGACGCCGCCGGGAAGCCGCGCCTCCACGTCTCCGCTGCCGCCCCCCCACTGAGTCCCCGTCCGACACCGTGTGGTGTGGGCGCCAGCGCTCTCGGTCTGCGGCTCCTCTCCCACGCGGTGGAGAAGCTGCGGCCGCTGCTTGTCTAGGGGCCGCCGCCGATGCAGCTGAGGCCGGAGGACGCCATGGAGGAGGAGGAGGTAAAAGCCTCGTAAAACTGAGCCGAGTGGAAAGAGTCTGAAACCGTAAGTTGAGCACCGCAGAGGAAGGCGTCTTCGTACTCGCCTCTCTCTGTGACCCAGAGCTTTTACCCCTCCTCCCATTTCCCGCCGCTGCTCCACCATCCCCGATGGCACCATGAGGGAGTGCATCTCGATCCACATCGGCCAGGCCGGTATCCAGGTTGGAAACGCGTGCTGGGAGCTTTACTGCCTCGAGCATGGCATTCAGGTACCGATCCGTTCATTTCCCCTTCCGTTCTTGCGCTGTAGCTGTGGGTATATGTTGGATCTATGTGTTCTTGGGGTTGTTGTGCTCCATATTTGGTGGATCTGAGTGGTGTGGGGAAATTATATTTAAAATGAGTTGTTCTGTTTGCGGATCTAATAACCGCAAAAGTTCTGTCCACGTATTGTTGTTCATCTTGGTTGGTTCGTGCAATCCTTGCGTTATCGGAACAATGTAGCTCTCTATTTGAAAGGGACGGTTCCTTTGGTTCGGTTTATTTATATTGTATTATATAGATCTCCTAGTTTGGATAAGTTAATTTTAGTTACGTTGGCCATGTATTTCTTCGTAACTGCTCTATTCACATTTCTAGGTTGGTTTACCTTAGATCTGTTAATTCCCCCCCACCCACCAAAAAACCTTAGATCTGTTAATACCGCTACAGAAATTTGAACTGTATGGAGCGAGTCAGTTAGTGCGTGATTGGTAGGCCGAATCGGGCCGTTCTCGCACCGTTTAGTTGTCTGACCTCATTCATACGACGTGTTTGGTTGCCCTGCTCGCACCTTTCGCCTGTGTCCTTTCATTCATCTGTCCTCCTCCATCCCGCACGACTTCATCTTCTGGATTTCTCCTTCCCTCATGGTGCAGGATGTCTTGATTCACCCAGAATGTAGGGACCCATACGTCAGACACCCAAAAAACTGATACATGCATGCAACCAAACACAACCCCGTCTCGTATTAAACCAACAGCAAAGACAACCAAACACAACCACCTGCACGAGCTCAACCCGACTTCTTCGGTCCTGCACAGCCTGGCCATCCTGGATCAAGGCCTTCTCTGCAACCAATCACGCCCTTAGGTTTTCTTAATTTAAGATTTGCCTCAGATCTGTTTCAATTGGGCTGGATCTAGTAGTTTATGTAGACAGACACGAGCTGTGAGTCTGTGGTCACAAGTGGTCAGCACCACCAAGAGGAGATCTGGGTTGACAAGAGATCTGGGCTTCCTGAACCTGACGAGGATGACGGTGGAATGAAATAGCTTGTCGGGACCTTTCTTCTTCCTTCTATGTTCAGTCTGCCTGGGTGTGTCTTGTTCTCTCTTGTGTTACTTGCATCGAGCGAAAATTGGTTTTCACATTACTTTTCATATACCTATGTTCAGTCTCATAGTTTAAATGAACAGCAAGCACAATAATTTGCACCGTGTATTGTCATGGAATATTTGTTATAATCTGGTATAAATAAATGTGTATTATCATTGAGTTTCAGTACAATCGTAGAAGAAGATAAGTAATGATGGAGTTGTGCATGAAAAATATATGTTCCGGTCGAATTTGAATTGTAAATTTATTTTTTTTTTGTGGGAAAATGATTTGTATGGACGGTTGGTACTGTAGTCGCCCCTACAAATCGATTTGTAGGGGCGGCTCGTGTTCCCAGACCGCCCCTATAAATCCATTTGTAGGGGCGGCTATAGTACCAACCGTCCCTACAAATCAATTTGTAGGGGCGGCTGATAACACCAGCCGCCCCTACAAATCGATTTATAGGGGCAGTCTGGGAACCGCCCCTACAAATACATGATTTATAGAGACGATATGGTAGGGACGGCTGGCCGAACCGTCCCTACAAATGCTTATTAGCCGTCCCTAGAAACCATATCTGACGTAGTGCATATATGATTTGCTATATTAACATTGATATCATTTACAATACTAATTACTCATTGATATAAACTTCACATGGTTTTATAGGGTACTTTGTTATTCGCAGATAAAGTCGGATATTTTACATTTTTTTTCTAATACAGTTCTAGATTCAGATAGAAAAAGACAGAAAGCGAATTCGAATACATCCCTTTAGTATTTACATTAGAATCGAATATAAATATAGATATTTGTACTGACATTTTTTTAATTTATATCTGTACTGACATTAAAACAATAAAACGGATAAGGATATGTAACCTTTTAACACCCAGAACCATCCCTACGCTGCTACGTAAGAGGCTAATGAGTAGATCGTCGTACGTGTACTGGAACATGTAACGATGTGATACTACTTCAGCAGTATTTTTTAACGAAGAAATAATATTTTTCTCTCACAACAAATCAACATAAGCGAATAAAAAAACCCGGCCTAAATACTGTCGATTTAATTATTGTTGGCTAAGACAGATCGAGGATCAGACACTCGATGGACATGACGATGTTTTTCTCATACATCCAACAGTACGTATGAAAGGTTTACGACTGTTCTCAGCACACCGTCTGCACATGCACATGTGTTGTACTACTACCACCCTGGTAGCGGT